CCGGGCCCAACGTTGGGCTAGCCCTGGACAGGGAGGCCCCTGAGGAGGAGCACCAGGAAGACGAGCAGCTCTGGGCCGGCCTGGGCGGGTGAGCTCCGCCCCTCCCCCCACCCTCCCCCGCTGTGCCCGCCCCCTCAACTCCCTCAACTCGCCTCCCTCTTCCCTAGGCCCAGCCCTGCATCCCCGCTGCCCGCAGGAGGCAGCGCCCCTGTGCGAACAGCCAAAGCTGAGCGGCGCCACCAGGAGCGGCTGCGCATGCAGAGCCCGGAGCTGGCAGCACCAGAGCGGGCCCTGTCCCCAGCGGAGCGCCGGGCCCAGGAAGCAGAGAAGCGGGCTCTGTGGAGGGCGGCCAGGTAAGTGGGTTCCCCACCCAGACACCGGGGCCGCACCGCGCCCACTCCCTGGTCTCCGCCCACCCATGGGTCTCCACAGGATGAAGTCTCTGGAGCAGGACGCTCTGCGCGCACAGATGGTGCTCAGCAAGTCCCAGGAGGGCCGGAGCAAGCGAGGGCCCCTGGAGCGGCTGGCCGAGTCCCCCTCGCCCGCTCCCACCCCATCGCCCACCCCCTTGGAAGGTTGGTGTGTCTGGGAGGTTGGGGGGGAGGGGGTTCTGCCAGCTATGAGCCTTTCCCAATGCCAGTGTCTTGTACCCCAGATCTCGGCCTCCAGACCAGCACCACCCCGGGACGCCTGGTGAGCCGCCCTTAAGCTGTCTCCCCCCCTGCACCCCTGCGGCATGGGGGCATCGGTGCAGGTGCAGACTCCCCCACACCGCCCTCACCTCTCCCTCGCACTTTCTGCCTCTTCCCCCTCACGCTGTCCTTTCAAGCCCTTGTCTGGAAAGAAGTTTGACTACAGGGCGTTCGCAGCCCTCCCTTCTTCCAGACCTGTCTATGACATCCAGGTACTGGCAGTCTCCTGGCCCTTCTGCACGCGCATGGGCCCAGTGCACGCTCCTGCCACTCCCCTGTGCCTGTCCCACCTGAGCTCTGTCCACCCCTACTTTTTCCCTGCTCTTTCTCTGGTATGGGGCCTCCCCCTTCTTCCCTCCCGTTGCAGCCCAGCTGTGCTGTGTCCTCACCCAGGCTCTGTGGGCCTCAGAGCCAGGGGGGCCGGCCAGGTCCACCAGGGTGGTTTCAGCCAGGTCTGGACCAGCCCTGACCAGCCCCTCTTCCCATCACAGTCGCCAGATTTTGTGGAGGATCTGAGGTCCTTGGAACCAACTCCTAGCCCTGGTAAGTTGGTGCTGGGCTGGGGGTAAGCTCCCAGGGTGCCTGGTCACCCTGGGCTTACTTCCTGTCCTTGCCCCCGCCCTGCCCCCAGGCCCTCAGGAGGAGGACGGAGAGGTGGCCCTGGTGCTCCTAGGCAGGCCCTCCCCCAGTTCCCTGGGCCCTGAAGATGTGGCGCTGTGCAGCAGCCGTCGCCCCATGCGGCCTGGGCGGCGGGGCCTGGGCCCTGTGCCCTCCTAGGGGGCGGGGCCTCCCCAGACTTGGGGTGGGGGCCTGCCAGCTCCAACACTACCCTTGCCCCAGTCTTTTAACCTGGGTGTTAGCATTTTAAAGAGACCCCTCAGGGGCCTGGCCTGTGCCTGACTGCCCCACCCCAAGCGGGTTCTCTTGGCGAGACTGTAACTAGTGACGTTTGTACAACCAAAGACTCTATTTTGTGGTTTAAGGAGAATAAAATTGACTACATTTTAACCCCTATGTGTCTCTCCATCCACCCACCCACCTGTAGCACTGGTGTGCCCAGCAAGGCTGGTGCCCAGCTGTGCCTGCCCATGCATGTCCTCCCTGCTGAGGTACCTGCCTGCCTGTCCCACGTGGGGGCCTCCCCCCATGTTTTCTAGCAGGGCTCCAGACTGGCTGGGGCGAAACCTTCCGGCTCACGGTCACAGACGTGTTGCCTGGGCAGGTTTTATTTGGGTGCTGCATTAGTGGGGCAGCTGTACCCGCACAGGGAGCAGCACCTGCAGCTGCTCCACAGGTGGCCACTGGACCTGGGTGACGAAGAAGAGACGAAAGTGGGCCAGGCGAGCCTCCTGGAACTGGGTGGGGCCGTACTCAGGCCCATCCGTGGGCCGCAGCAGGGAGAGGTACCGGTCCTGGGCCAGCAACTCCCGGCTGAGCAGTGCTGGGGCCAGACCAGGCTGCACCGCCTCCAGCTGCTGCTGCACTACAGGGAACAGGTCCACCTCCCGCAGGTCGAACACCAGTGGCTTCCCATACCTGTGGGGGGTGCTGATCAGGGCAGGGCAGGGCCTGGCCCGGCTGGCCCCTCCCTGCCCCTTCCTGCCTCACCTGAGTGCCCCCAGCAGAGCCAGTCGGATTCTCTCAGGCCTCAGGTGCTCTGGGTTCACAGCATCCACATAGTTGGTATCCTGGTAGCGTAGGAAGGTGGCTGCCTGGCCCGAAGGGTCGATGACAAGAGGCCACCTGGGGGCAGCCGCTGGGTCATCATCAAGTGAGCACACCCCAACTTACCCATGCCCAGACAACACTGACCGGCCATCAGCACGGATGCGGTCACCCACGTCCTTCATCAGCACGTCATGGAGATCCGTGACCTGACACTTCAGTCCAGGCGCTTCCTGCTCCTCTGTGGGGAGGTCAGGGTGCAGCCCACAGAGATCCTGGTGTCCAGCACCCTCCCTGGGCCTCCCCTCTCCGGCCACAGCCTGCAGCAGAGCCCTGCCCACCCTCCTGCGTCTGCTCCCGCAGCTCCAGCCTGGCCATGGCCAGCATCTCTTCCGCCTTCTGTGCCTCCTGCCTCAGCCTGTCCACTTGGGCCTCTGAGTCCTTTATGGCCTAGAGGAGGGGAAACGCTGACCACCACTGGCTCTGTCTCCCACTTAGCTGCCACCCAGAGGCTTCTCTGCTTCGCACTGGGCCTGTGGACAACCTGAGGCCCCCAGCCAGGGCTTCCCCTCCACCCCCGGAGGCTGCAGGCTGCAGGGAGACCGCTGGGAATGGGAGGGCAGGACAAGGGCACCCAGGCCTCTGAAAGGAAGCGGCCCACCTGCAGCGTGAACTCAGTCCTGCCCATGCACTGGCGCTCACACTCCTCGTGCTCCGTGATCCTCCGGTTGAGCTCGCAGTAGGCCTGCTGCAGCTGGGGGGAGGGGCAGGCCCCTAAGAAGGTCCTTCCACTGTCCCCTTCCTATTTGGCTCACCTCTGAAGGGAGGTCAGAGGCCACTGCTCACCTCCTTGTGACACCGCTGCTGCTCCTTGGCCAGTTGCTGCACCTTGAGGTTCAAGCTGAGGGGAAATGGGGCAGATCAGAGGACCCCCCACCAGCACCTGCTGCCCCGCTGCCCCGCTGCCCCTGCCCCCCTGCTGCACCGTTTGGCCTCCGCCTGCTTGTGTCTCTCATCCTCCTGGGCCCGGCGCTGCCGCTCAGCCTCCATGTTCTGGAGCATGGCCTCTGTGAGGCCCAGGTCCCAAGTCTGCAGCACGCTAGCTACCGCGTCCAGCGAGGCCACCTAATGACAGGATACCTGTTGTTCCTGAAGCATGCATGTTGGGAACCCACAAGGAGTCACTGCACTCTCATGTTAGAGAAAGGGCAGTGCAGTCCAAAAGCGGGTCCCTCATGGGCCCAAAACCTTGGTCACCATGGTTTCCAGACTACCCAGGGTCTTTCTGGGCTCCTTGCTCAAGTCCTGTGGTAGGGTCTGGAGGCAGACCACTCCTCTGCACGCTCTCCCCAGCCCCCAGTCTACTGCTCAGGCCTCCTGGCCACCCACAGCCCCTGCCGGTCACCCTGCAGAACTCACCCAGGTCCTCTCCCTCCCAGCCCCACCCCGTCTGCATGCTGATGCCTGCCAGGTGCGGCCAGCAGGGGGCAGCAGGCCCTAAAGCTGAGGGCAGGCCCAACCAACCCTCCCTCCCTCCAGCAGCAAACCCACCGCACCCTGAGGACCCCGTGAGCGGGTGGCGCTGCTCCTGAAGGCCAGGACCAGTGCCTAACCCCTTCCACAGGGGCCTGGTGTGCAGGGAGGGTGGGGGTGGCTCCCTAACAGCTAAACCTCCCCACCCATGGACACAGCTGGGGGCAGAGGCAGGGCAGAGAGGGGTCCTGTCCCATTGGGAACTGGGCCTGGCAAACAGAAGCCCAGGGAGCCTGCATCGCCTGGGCCTGGCGGGGGTGTGGGGGGGGCCTGGAGGAAGCACACAGGTGTGAGGCTGGAGGCCGGCCCCAGGCAGGCAGTGGGCAGTGGGAGTGGGAGTGTGAGGTAGAAAGGGAGGTGCTGAGCCCAGACCAGATGGGGGTGAAGGGACGAGCCCCGGAGTGCTCCATGGCTGATGAGGCCGAGGGCTGGTGAAGATGGGTGACGGGCAGCAGAAGGTTCGTGGCAGGAGGAGGGAGGGAGGAGAGTTGCCCAGAGGAAGAGGTGGCCCAGGAAGCCCAAGCAGACCGCACGTGGGAGGGAAGGACCCAAGGGTGCCTGAAAGTGGGTTGATGGGGAGAATTCACAGACAGAGGGAAGGGGATGGTACCCAGGGTGCCCTGGCTGTGTGCAGATGCTGGAGGCAGATATGGGGGGAGGGGCTGCCGGGAGGGTTGTGGGCCTCCAGGAGGCCAGGGATGTGGCTGATGGGTAGAAAGTGGCCTCTCAGGACCTGTACATGGACGGGTTCAGGTCCACCAGTCTCTCCACCCTCTTGCTCGATTCTTTATAGCAGCTGTTAGCTCAAAGCCCTCCCAGAGCCAAATTCAATTGCTTTCAATACATCTCAAATAAACATTCTCAGAGGCAGTTTGATTTGCCTACCCTGCAACACTGCACTCAGCATCTACCAGTGACAGGTAAGACAAACCCTAGGGCTATCAAGACCCCCTAGGCTGGCAATGACCCTCTGAGCTCTCTGACTTGAGTTCCTCAAGAGGCACTAGGGCCAGGCGAGGTGGCTCATGCCTACAATCCCAGCAGCTCGGAGGGCTGGGATAGGAGGATTGCAGGTTTGAGGCCAGCCTCACAATTTAGCAAGGCCCTAAGCAATTTAGTCAGACTCTCAAAAATTAAAAAGGGCTGAGGATGTGGTTAAACACCCCTGGATTCAACCCTTAGTACAAAAAAACAAAAAAGACAGACAGGCTCAGAGGGATGGATGGATGGATGAATACAGGTGGAGGGTGACTGAAGGAGTTTACAGTTTGTGAATAAATATCCCACTCTAATCCTTACTTGTATTGGGGTTTTTTGGGAGGGGGTATTTTTATTCTACTTTTTTTTTTTTTGGTCCTGGGGGTTGAACTTAGAGATATTCTATCACTGAGCTGCATCCCCAGCTCTTTTTAGTTTTTATTTTGAGACAGGATCTCACTAAATTGTCCAGGCTGGCCTTGAACTTGCAATCTTCCTGCCTCAGCCTCCAGACTTGCTGGGATTACAGGTGCACACCACCACACCCAGCCTGGATTCGGTTTCTAAAGACTGCACCCTTGGGATAAAGGTGACCCAGAGTTAGGCCCTCAAAGAGACTTTGGCTTAGCCTTGAGATTGGTAGGGTGACTCTAGGCTGTCAGTGCTCAGCACAGGTCAGGGCAGCAGGAGAGCCTTGGTCAAGGGAGGTGTCATTTTGCTGGGCTTCAAATTATTGCTACAGATAAAACATGACATGAGGGGCTGGGGATGTGGCTCAAGCGGTAGCGAGCTTGCCTGGCATGCGTGGGGCGCTGGGTTCGATCCTCAGCACCACATAAAAATAAATAAAGATGTTGTGTCCACCAAAAACTAAAAAATAAATATTAAAAAATTAAAAACATGACAAAAAGGCACAGAAAATAACAGAAGACAGTATGAGTGAAAACTTGCTAGAACTACAGGTTACAGAGATAATCCACAGGGATCCAGAGTTTGGAGTTATCAGCTACAGATGTTAAAATAATATATTTATTATGTTCAAGGAGATGGAAGCCTAGAGTGAGATTTTTGGTAAAAGCTGAAAGATGTGTGCACGCACGCACGCGCGTGTGTGTATGTGTGTGAAATGAAATTTCTAGAAATTAAAATTAACCAAATTAAGAAGAAAGCGTACATATTTAATAATCAGATAGATGTAGCTGGAAGAGAGAATTAGTGAACTGGTAGAAATGTTAGAAGAAAATATGCAGAATAAACCAAGACAAAGTAATGGAAAATACAGAACCAAGTAGTTATTAGAGCTGTCCACTGTATATGTCCACCCCTCCACCTTCTAGACTAACGATGGGATCACACTTCCTGATCGGCTGTGGTCATGGAGTCAAATGGCTTAAGGGGTCTGGCCAGCGAGCTGCAAGCAACACTGATTTGCACCAGGCGCTCTGGAACCCTCTCCCTCTGACCAGCAACATTCAAGTGCAGCTGCACAGGTTAGGCATTTGATTTAGAATAAAGGTGGCAGAGGTGAGTACGATCTTCTGAAAAATGTGCCAGGAAAGTTGCACACTCGCATGAGACACGAACATGATGAGGGACTCACAGGAAGCACACGGGTACCGCACAGACGTGGATCCCAGTGGCTGCGGGTCTGAACTCAAACATCTGGCAGATTGAGTAGGAAAATATCTTTGTGTCCGTGGGGATATGAAGAGATTTAAACTGACACAGAGCACCCAGCACAAAGGGAAAGAGCCCTGGAGTTCACTGTCGTAAGACAGAGAGAGTGAAAGAACAAGCATGTGTGACCGATGTTGAGGCTTTGTTTGGAACAGGTGAAGAACACTTCAGGCAGACAGGGCCATCTACCACTAATGTGCACAGGCACTTTTTTTTTTTTTTTTTGTAACCCAGGGGTGCTTAACAGGGTCTTGCTAAGTTGCTCAGGTCGTTGCTAAGTTACTGAGGCTGGCCTTGAACTTGCAACCCTCCAGCCTCAGCCTCCCAAGCTGCTGAGATAACCGCAGCCAGCTGAGCTACCACACTCAGCTGAACAGGCATTTCTTTTAAAAAGAGGTCTCAACACCTGTCAAGCATAAGGCAGATTTCTCTCCTTCACTAATTAAAAAGCAGAGAGATGCAAATTAGAACCTCAATGAGGCACCAATGTATGCCCACTGTAAACTAAAATACTGACTCACCATACAATGCAGGACGTGGTGACTTGGGGAGAGGGATGGGTTCTGGCAGAGTTTTTGTTTTTGCATTTACATTTGGGTCTCTAGTCCATTGAGTTAACTTTGCATAAGGTGAGGTTCAGGTCAGGGCCTGTTTCTCTGCCAGCCAATGGAGAGGGCCGGTTTCCTGGCACATCACACCAGCAGGAGCGCCCAGGCACAGCGGGTCGCGTCTTCAGCAGCCCCAGACCCTCACCTGTGCTCTTCCACTCCTCGCAGCCCACTGATACCCTGCTAGCCCAGGGACCTGGGCAGACAAGGGGAAGAGCAGGGCACAATAGGCCGGGCCTAGAGCAGCAGCCACATGGTGGCGCCAAAGTCCCAGGCTGGGCGAGACCCTGGCAGTCCACCCTGCACCGCCCCCCCCCCCGCAGGCCTGAGGCCCATCCCAGGACTGACTTCTAGGCAGCCTCAGTTTAGGGATGGGACCTGAGTTGGGGACTGGGGGACATAAGTCGACTTAAAGGAAATGAAGGTAGCAGGCATGTCCTGACCTGGTTTCCCAGGGGCTCTTAGGCTCCCAGTAGCCTCCTGGGCCCCACAGTCCAAGGGCCTGGGAGGAGCTCAGCCAACACGCCAGCACCCTGGGAACTCCAGCCAGCCCCTGGAGTGGCCAGCCTCAGCTCTAACACTGCCTCCGGGTACGGGTACGGGAGCCTGGAGGGTGATCAGGCAAACCTGCACGGAAGGCACCCAAACAACTCAGGTGGCTGTCACCTTGCCTGCAGGCAACAAGGGAGGATTTTTATTTTTTGTTTGGTGCTGGGAATTGAACCCAGGGCGCTTTGCCATGACGCCACATCCACAGGCCTTCTTATTTATTATTTGGAGACAGGGCCTTGCTTATTTGCTGAGGCTGGCCTTGATCTTACGATCCTCCTGCCTCAGCCTCCCAAGTCGCTGGGATTACAGGCGTGCGCCACCGTGCGGCGACAAGGGAGATTTTGAGTCGGCGTCCGCCCCACACCTGCTCTGGGGTGCTCCCGTCGTCTGCGTACACTCGGGGGTCTGCTCCGAGCTTCAGAAGCAGCTCCACGGCCTCCAGGTGGCCCCCGAAGGCTGCCCGGTACAGCGGCGTTCTGCCGAAGGCGCCCTGCGCGAGGGGCCCCATGAGCCGGCGGC